TACGACCGTGCAAATCTTTCGGTCGTTTTTTAACCCACTTCCCGTGATCCAATCGAGCTGACACTTTCCACACAGACTCGTTGTGCGTGACAATTAATTTTCGTGAAAAAAATTTTCCTAAATTTTACACTGTTTATGGAAATTTTTTACAATATTTAATTACCAATTGCTTAATGCTGGCAGACAATCATCTGACCCATAGGTGGCAGCCATCTCAAGCCAGAGGACGAGAGGACTCTAGCCGCCACGCATATAAAGGATTTAGAGTGAAAAACTTTGTTTTTACGGGTTAATTTTTTATATTCACCCCAACCCACACCCCTCCTGTAAAGGCGCTCACACTCCAGTGGGTTTAGTATCTAGTCCCAATAGTTTTGGAGTTGCGTTGTGCACAATCTCAGGTTTGCCTCGAAACGCGACGGAGAGAGACGTGCGTATCGGTACGCCGATGTTCCGATGCAGTTGATGGTACGTCGGAGTGTCTTCGTTGGGGGGGGGGGGATTCATCTTCTTTGTTCTTTCGGTAAAGTCACGTAGAAGGGAAGTAATAAAATAATACAAATAAAACATAATAAAATAATTCTCACGACGTTTCGGCCACAACGCAAGCAGCCGTCCTCAGGTGAAGACCAGGTCTGTCGGGGAGACAGCGTCTGAATGAAACACCACCACGCTTGGAGCGTCTATTTAATCTGGGTTTGAAGGGGGGAAGGGCGCCTTGACAAAATAATTTGTATATCAAGAGGAATTTAGCATATTTATGGGAAATGCAGGTATGTGATGAGTACTACTTGTGAAATGCGTAGGAGGTGGGCGGGGGGTTTCAAAGTAAAAAAAAGGGATGTCAAAGCCCTCCTCCTCGGATGTTGAGTGTGATGTTTGGGCTTTCGAACGAGGTCCGTGTGCCACACCGCGCGCCCCGCGTCCGTGTCGATCGCGTTGGAGACAAACGCTCTGGGGGCAGGAAGCCAGGTGGCCCTGGGTCGTCATCGTCGTCGTCGTCATTGGCGGCTGATTGTGGTCACTGTCACCGCAGCCACCGTTTGGCGATGCCGTGATAATAATCATCGCGACACGGGTGTTCGGGACGCCGAGTTCCCCATCAGTTTTTGATGTCGCCGTTACAATTTGTCTGGCGAGTTTAATTTCTTGCCTTCCAAACGAAAATGATTTTATTAATGATATTACATTTACTTTTATTACGCATGTATTTTTATGTGTATTATATTTATTATTAAAAACAGTTTCGTGTTATATATTTATTTATTCACTTCCATCACATTTCTGTCATCACTGTTGGTGATGTCGTATTAATAATAATAATGATCCATGCGCTAGTGACGCCACGTTACCGATGTGTTTGTGTTGTTGTTGTCGTTACATTGTGTCTGGTGAGATTTCGCTGACTCTCATCACATTTTATTTTTTTGGAGGCGTGCTTATTTATGGCTTTTCAGTTGGTTTACATTAATCCTTGAACGATGCTACTGTTACTGCTGCATAGGTTTTCGCAGTTTGTGCTGTAGAGCTTTCCGATGTGTTTACTGCGGCTCGTTCTGCGTGTTGTTGGGCACGATGTCCGAAGTTTCGATCCAAATACCTCGCCTGGTACACAAGAGGTTGTGGGTTTGATCCCGACCCTGACGCCTGCTGTATATTTGGAGTCTGCATGCCTCTCTCCCCGTGGTCGCGTGGATTTTTCTCCAGGTCCTCCATTTTTTCCCCTCCACATTTAGAATCAACGTGCATTTAGAGCGTTTGGCTGTGGTAACTAATTCGTGGCCTGGTCGCTTCTGAAAAAAGCATTATATAGCACCTGTGGGCCTTATCTGATAAAATAAAATAAAAATATATAGCTGTTGCTTGTTGTTGCAATCCATTGATGTCGCCATCTCTCACGGTCCATGCGATGTCAAAATCTACCGAACGCCTGCACAGTGACCGATCGCTCCATCTCCGTGGTGGAACTCTCCTCTCAAACACCTCTCCCCCCCCTCCATTGGCTGCCACTCCATCGCTAGTCTTGACCCTGCACCCAGAATCGTGAGCGATGTGGACACTGATCTCGTCAAGGAGCATGAACCATCACGCGAGGCCCGGTCGTCCTCGCAGAAGCGGCTTCTGGTCTACGCCATCGAACAAAGACGGACACCGCATAGCGCACTTTCAGAGGCGCTTCCGCGGCCGTCTGGAACGCTCTTCCTTCTGATATTCGGAAGCCACTGGGAGCTATGCACTTTTAAATAATCTAGATTGAAAGTTGACTTCTTCAGAACTTAGTTTTGTGTTTAGTTTGTCGTTCCTCTCTCGTACCTTCGATTAGCATAGTTGTCTGTGTACGGTGCGAACGAAATTCAACATACATACTTAGAATCGTGGTAAGTTTAAAGAGCCCTGACAATATAATTTGATCTCAAACCCTTCTCTGGGGCCGGAGTGGGGGGGGGGGGGTGCAGTGATTTGCACACTGCGCTGAGAACCCAGCAAAACATGAGTTCTATTCCAGGCTAGAGCTGACATCAGTGGTGAGTGACATCTGAACCAGTTCTGGGCCACGCCTTCACTCACCAAGCAACCAATGAGCAGCCGTAGTGAAGTATTGTCGAATAACCTCAATGGCGGACGTGATAAGCGAAGTCCTCCCTCTAGCAGTGGATAGACAAAGGCTGTAACTCTGCATTGCTGTTACCCTGTTTGCATGTGCTTAAAAATGAATTGGACAGATCAGTCTTAACCATAGAACAACCACTGTTGGCTTCTCCACACAGTGGTGTTAATTTTATCGACCCTAGAGGGATGATGAGCTGAGTCAACTACCAACCAGGATCAGAACTCGTACGCTTCTGAGTTATTGGCCCCATCAGCGCCAATAATTACGATGCCTTCTCATGACACTGTGGGATTACTCTTTGGTTCTTTCGGTAAAGTCACGTAGAAAGAAAATAAATGAAATACTCTATTTAATTATTATTACATTTATTTTCTTTCTACGCGACTTTACCGAAAGAACCAAAGAGTAATTCCTGCAGTCACGAAAGCTTCAAATCACTGTAGGATTGGTTTAGCCTGACTGATCCAGGTCGGCTCAGTAACAGGAGCATCATCATTAATTGTAATTTCGTCATCATCACTGGCAGCATCATTATCGTCATAATCACCGTTACCATCATCATCATCATCATTGTCGTCATGATTGGCAAATATACAGGCGTCAGGGTCGGGATTGAACCCACGACCTCTTCCTTAATTTTGGAGCTTTCGTGACTGTAGGAATTATTTTTTGGTTCTTTCGGTAAAGTCACGTCTAAAGATAAAATAATAAATTAAATAATAGCATATTACGACGTTTCGATTGCAACACAAGCAATCATCATCAGGCATAAAAGAAATAGCAACCAAAATCTAACTAGTCTATAGTTTTCTAGTTAGATTTTTGTTGCTATTTCTTTTATGCCTGATGATGATTGCTTGTGTTGCAATCGAAACGTCGTAATATGCTATTATATAATTTATTATTTCATCTTTAGACGTGACTTAACCGAAAGAACCAAAGAATAACCATGACCTCTTGTTTCCCAGGCGAGGTAGTTAACATCTCGTTGACCAGAGCCTTGCCATATCAATGTCACGTGCATAGTTGTTTTTTAAATCCTTTATATTAAGTTCACTTGCTTGCTTGCTTGCGCGCTTACGACCGTGCAAATCTTTCGGTCGTTTTTTAACCCACTTCCCGTGATCCAAGCGAGCTGACATTTTGCACACAGACTCGTTGTGCGTGACAATGTATTTTCGTGAAATTTTTTTCCCAAAATTTTACACTTTTTAGGAAAAAATAAATTATATTTAATTACCAATTGCTTAATGTTGGCAGGCAATCATCTGACCCATAGGTGGCAGCCATCTCAAGCCAGAGGACGAGAGGACTCTAGCCGTCACGCATATAAAGGATTTATAGTGACAAACTTTGTTTTTACGGGTGATTTTTTTAATCAATCAACTCTGCAATGAGGAAATATTTAGGTGTTGGTGTGATGTGTTTGTATTTTTTTACACGTCTGTGCGTTCGTTTTGGAAAAGAAGCGGATGGAATGATACGAAACAAGAACAAAGCCAATCCCCAAATCGAGCTGCGTTCCTTTGCAAGACGACGCCAAGCGGTGGATCTTTTCTCGTCGGTGCATCGCCTAAAAATCAGGAGGGTGTAATCCTCCTCCTCCTCTGATCCACTCCCCGTACTGCAGCCCTCTCTGTGTGGAGTCGTTTGTTTTGTTTCCTCCGTCGGATCGAAACGTTCGGTAGATCTTGGCCAGAAAACACCTCGATCACTCGTTGTGCGCATCGGTTTTATAAAAAAACGTGTTCGCTCTGCGTGTGTGTTGTTGTTGTGGGGAGCGGTAGTGTAGCGGTTAGCGCACTGCGCTATGAATCCGGCCACCCGGGTTCGATTCCCGCTCACGGCCAAGACCGGTGACGATTATCTTAACCGGTCCTGGATCTCCCCGACGTCGACTCAGCCTCAAATGAGTCCCTGGTACGGTGTGTAAAATACCGCCATTGGGGAGACAAAGGCGGTCGGGCGTGGTGCTGGTTACCCACCCCCGCATTCATAGGTGCTCGCTAACCCCACTTGCCCCAACAGTCTCTTAAGGCTATCAGGGGGATGTTTGTGTTTGTTGTTGTAAATATAAATAAATAACACGTGTGGACGCTTTAGCCATGGGCTACGTTCATCCTGCAGCCCTCTGAACCTAATTGTAATTCCACGGTCGTAGCCACACTACGTCAATCGCTGGACTGTACCAAATTGCGAGCGTTGGGTTCTATTTTTTGTCTTTTTTTTGTTTAAACAACCCGTGCATATTGTTTATTCTTTTTACAACAACAACACCACCAAACAAAAAAAAACCCCATCTATTTTAGCAACCGCGCACATACGTTTTCCCATGCATGCTGCCGTGCATGTTCGTGTATATGTATGTGTCGTAGTCGAGAGAGAGCGAGCGAGCGAGAGAGAGCGAGCGAGAGGTGCGCACAAGCGGAGCGTGGTAGCAGCACGTGTGTGCAGCGCACATCCCCGGGAGATTCGTCCCGAGCTCCTGCGAGTTGACACCACCCATCCCAAACACCCCCACACACCCCACATACACACCCCACACACACCCCACACACACACCTCTCTCTCCAGCACAAACCCCTCGTAACCTCGTGCGCGCTTTTTTTCTTCATTTATTTGCTCCTGCCTCGCCGTCGACTGCCGCGCGCGCCGATTTTTTTTTGCTTTACCGCAAACGGCACATCGCGTTCGTTTCGCGGGGACACAATTCTTGAAGGTCACCCGGTTAACGACTCTGGCTGCTCGGGGAGGGACGACGCACGGCTGAGACTGGGAGAGCGAAGCGATGGGAGACCACGGAGACGGAGGGACCTTCCGCGAGACGTGAACTTCGTTCTCTGGATCGCTGGCGATCGGATCGGGGGGGGGGGGGAGGAGATTGCGCCTCCGACGCAAAGCGCGGAATTTTTTGCGGGCGTTGAACAGAGAGGACGAAAGCTCTGCTGGCCGGGCGAGCACGGTGTGGGGAATTCATCTCCATCGAAGGCCGGGGAGGGTGAAAACAAGGCGTCGATGATGACATTTGTTGCAACTTGGCCTCGGCGGATTACGTCCCAGCGTCGCGAGCCGGACGTTTAATTCCACGTGCGCACAAGGTACAAGGGCGATTGCTCAGGCCACCTCGCTTTGCCGATCGCTGCGTCTCCGTCGCTGAAACGTGCAGGTGAACGCGTCCGTGTGCGCAAGTGCGCGGGTGTTTGTGTGTACGCGCGCGTGTGCGTGCCGTGTGTATGAGCGTGTCGTGCTGAATTCGCATGCAGAATCTCCGTAAACACCGCCGTCGTCGTCATGAATTTATAATAGAGGTTTTCTTTTGGGTTAGATTGCGTGCGTATATAAATGTGTCGTTAAGCCGCCACCACCCGACACAGCCAATTAGTGAGGTTTGTTACGTAAACAGAACGTGGCCAATTCGTCACTAGTACAGCGCCTCGGTGTGTTGGAGAGTCAGGCCACAACATTTACAATCGGAGTACGACGTTTCGCCAGTAATTACAACGAGCTTCGTCAGGCGACAGCCAGATTTGTAATGAATTTAACGTCGACATTTGTTCAATCGGCGGTGGCTTTTCGTAAATAATGACAGCCGTTCTCAATCCACCGACGCATGTCGGCTTCCCCCACGCCATCTCGGTCAAGGGTTTCTTTTTCTTACCGCCACGCTGGTCTGTGCAGGTTGATTAGCCTGGGAAGGGGAGAGGGGAGGACAAGAACAAGACGAATATCACTTGCCACTCATCTCGATGAACGATATCTCTGATGCCTTCGCTTTGCTAAAATGTACACGCGTTCGTGTGCGTGCGTTGTGGCGTTTGGTGGCCTGGAGTGTAGTTCACTGGGTTGCAAGCCCGGTAACCCGAGTTCGATTCCCGCTGTGTGTCCAACACGAGTGACAAATATCTGAATACCGAGCCTCCGTCCATAGATCGACTCACACTTAAATGAATACTTGGTGCAGTGTACAAACATCAGCACTCGGGAGACAAAGGCGACCAGGCAGTGGTTCCGGCCACAACCCCCCCCCCGGGCCTTCATAGCTGCTCGCAAACAGCACTTGTCCCAGCAGGCTACACGGGGGGCCTTTATATTTTTGTACGTATGTCGAACTTTTTCGCACCGTACGTAGCCAACCGCGCTGATTGGAGGTGCCGCGGGTGCATTTGCGTGCACGCATCATCATCATCATCAACCCCATGGTCCATCCACTGCTGGATGAAGCCCTCCCCAAGCCACCGCCACCTCAACCGTTGCTCTCCGCGGCGTATTGGTTCGCGAATGCAGCATTATTTCTTTGCGTCCTGCGTTCTGCAGCCTTCCGTGACTTGTGCCCGCCTTTGGCGATTTGGTAGCGACGTGAGAGAGGAGAGAGGGAGAGGGCTGCATGCCGTGTGCATTGCAGCGTGGCCAAGTGCTGAGACAGCAGCGAGGAAATGCCCTCCCTTCTCTCTTCCTGGAGCCACTGCTGTGTTCATTATCCCAGGCACCGTCATTAACGTCAATAGGAGCCTGTGCAACAGCGGCAAGTCGAGGTTATAATGATGATGATGATCGTGATTAAGATGATGACGGTGAGTTTTTTTTAAGGGTCAGATTTAATTGGATAAATATGGCCAAATGAATTATATCCAGGGCAGGCGTTTTTGTTTTACTTATCTGTTTTTGGGGGGTTTGTGTATAGCAAGAGTAAATGTGGCAAAACACATCAATCTTGATTTGAAGCTTTCGTGACTGCAGGAAATCCATACTCTTTGGTTCTTTCGGTAATGTCACGTAGGTAGATAATTAATAGATCACGACGTTTCGATCGCCACACAAGCGATCGTCTTCGGTTGAAGACGGTCGAAACGTCGTGATCTGTTAATTTTCTATCGATGATACTTTACTGAAAGAACTAAAGAGTTTGGTAAAACACACGTTTCTTATCATTTACAGCCCGTTGTCGATCCTCTGTTGTATGAGAGCTTCACCACACCGTGTCGGCTAGGACTCACTGGGTTGCTAGACCAAAAAACCTAAGAATATGCTAGACCAGGGTGGGGGGATAGCAGGGGTTCAGATATAATTTGCCACTGATGTTAGCCGTGTCTGGGAATGGAACTTAGGTCGCGGAGTTGAGAAGGCAGTGCGCTCGTCAAATCACCGGTTCCTCTCTTAATAATAAAAATTATAACAGTTACAAACACGTACATTTAATTAACGTGGCTTATGATTACAGTGAGAGAAAAAGGTATTTGATCCCCTGCTGATTTTGTGCGTTTACCCACTGACAAAGAAATGATCAGTCTATAATTGTAATGGTAGGTTTATTTGAACAGTGAGAGACAGAATAACAACAACAAAATCCAGAAAAACGCATGTCAAAAATGTTATAAATTGATTTGCATTTTAATGAGGGAAATAAGTACTTTATATAACAAAAACGCATTTTTCATTATTGAAATGCGAATACAAACGACATCATTACATTGCTTGTTGGCGCTTGTGTTGCTGTTGTGTTTCAGTCTTTAATTACATTAAGCTTCTCTCTCTCATGCTTATTTGACTCCTGATGTGCAATTACTTCCCCGTGCGTGTACGCCCCCCTTTGCATGTTTACGTTCGATCGCGTCGTCGGTGCAAGTGATGTTTCTTTCACATTCGCGAACGTGTGTGTCGTGCAGACTGTGCCTTGTGTCGTGCCATTGCACGGTGCAAGAGGTGGTGGTGACGACGATGATGATGTCAAAGGTCAAAGTGTCTCCCTACTCAAATAAGCAAACGGGCAGTGTTCATTCTCATCGGTGGCTCTGAGCCAATGGTAGAAATTCCACATTGCTATGGCAGGGATATTTAATCCTGTAGAACTACCCAGGTTGACTTTTCCACAAATTAGTACCTATTTTAATCACCCCCGGAGTGTGAATGATGTGTCGACCCCTGGAGTTGATCTTGGGACTTTCCGATTGTTCTGCGACTCCTATGTCAGTGGCATGAAGGTTGTTCCTTCATTCCAATATCAGCAGTCTCTTGTGTAGCATTGGAGTTCCACCGTGCCTCTGCCGTTGTAGCTTTCCCGATGTGTCTCTGTCGTTGTGTCTCTGTCGTTGTGTCTCTGTCGTTGTGTCTCTGCCGTTGTGCTTGCTCGTGTGCCTCTGCTGTTGCGTCTGTAGCAAAGGTCGCAACCGGGTACCCGATACCCGTACCCTGACCGATACCCGGCTACCCGTACCCGGCCGGGTACGGGTACCCGTTTGCGACCTTGGTGCGGCCGGGTACGGGTACGGGTAGGCCGTGAGTCACTGGTGAGTAACCGTTTGTCACTCATTTCCCAACGTCTTGTCTCTTCTCACAATTCAAGTTCCTAGAATCAACCCACCCGCGCCTGCAACATGGCTTCATCCCAGAGGTCGCAATCAGGTACCCGATACCCGTACCCTACCCGTACCCGGCCGGGTACGGGTAGGGTACGGGTGGGGTACGGGTACGGCCGGGTACGGGTACCCGTTTGCGACCCTGGTGCAGCCGGATACGGGTAGGAAATCAAAACCCGTATGCGACCTCTGGTCTGTGGCTCTATGTTGATGTCTGTGCTGTTGCGTTTCTGTTGTTGACTTTGCTCTTCCACTGTCGTTGTGTGTGTACGCTTGTATGCGTGTGTGTGTGTACATGTGTGCTTGGGGAGTGGTAGCATAGTAGTTAGCGCGCTGCGCTATGAACCCGGCGACCCGAGTTTGAGTCCTGCTTCTGGCCAACACCAGTGGCGATGATGTGAACCGGTCCTGGGCCTCCTCCTCTAGGTTGGCTCAGCCTCAAATGTGTATCTGGTGCGGTCAGGCGTTGTGCTGGCCACCCATCCCAGCGTGTAACGTGCCAGCCTTCATAGGTGCTCGCTAACAGCACTTGCCCCAACAGTCTGTTAAGGCTATATGGGGGATCTTTGTCTTTGTTTTATTTGGTACACTACTCATGTAACTGTGTGTGCACGTGCGCGCATCTAGACACGAATGTACGTGCACGTGTGCATGTGTGTTTGAGGCTGTATACTGGATGTGGTGTGCCGAAATATTATCTGAGCCTAGATTTGAAGTGTTCGTGACGGCAGGGATCTATACTCTTTGGTTCTTTCGGTAAAGTCACGTAGGAATAAAATAAAATAAATAAAATCCCTTAAATTAAAGTGATTTAATAAAATCACTTAAAATAAATAAAATCACTTAAATTAAAGTGATTTAATTTATTTTATTTTATACCTACGTGACTTTACCGAAAGAACCAAAGAGTATTATCTGAGCCACTGACCTAGACAGAGTCAGATTAAATTGACAGCCGCGTGCGCACATGCGTACGTCACGTGGTGGTCAGTTCACTGTGCTACTAACCCGGTGACCCGAGTTTGATTCCATGCCACAGCGGAACCAGTCCTGGATCTTCGCACGCATCGACTCCCTGATTGAACGTGTCAACATCAGCGCCGGGAAGGCAGAGTGAGCCGTGCGCCCTGCCGGCCTTAATAGATGCAACTTTGCTCTAACCGTCTTTGCAGGCTTTCATTGGAGACCCCTTTGTCTTTGTGTGCGCGCGTGTGCAGCTTGCGAGATTCTGAAAATGGCTTCTCCGTGATCATCGACCGGCGGAGAGATCGCTGGGCAGCCGTGAAGGCGGCGCTCACTCGCATTGCGGTAACACACGCCGCCATTCCTCCGCGTCAGAATATTTGGGGGGAATCCGATGAGCTATAAAGCTGTTTCTCACAGTGATGTCCAGTGGGGGCCGGAGGGCCTGCTCCTCTGTCCTCTTGTCATCCTTGACCTCGTGGTTGTTTAGTGTTCTTCTGTTCTTCTCGGCTCTCTTTGACATTCTAGATTTGACGCTTTCGTGACTGCACGGATTCATACTCTTAGGCTTTTTCGGTAAAGTCACGTAGGTATAAAATAAATTTTTTTTTTATAAAAGTAATAATAGAATAATTATTTATTTATTACTTTATTTATATTATTACTTCTATTAATTTTATTTTTATTCTCTTTGACATCTCCATGAAGTTTGTTATTGTCCTTCGAGAACCCAGAATGCAAAGTAGATTTCAAAGAGAGGCAGCAGGCAACGTGTAACAAACTCGGCGTATTGGAACCTCTAAATTAGGGGATCGGTTTGGGGGCATCCGGGCTGGCTGCCTTACCGCAGGAGGGGTAACGATCGGGAGAAGTATCTTTACTATTTAAACTAAACTAACTATTTTAATTTAACCAGGTAAGGCCCACTGAGCTATATATATATTGTTTTAAGAAGCGACCTGGCCACAAATGATAGCGCAACGAAGTGGCTCATCATGTGGATATTGATAGCAGATAAATACTCTAAATGTAGGTTGATTCTCAATGTGGAGGGAAAAAAAACCATGCGACCACGCAAACACCGGATACTCAGCGGGCGCCAGGATCGGGATCGAACCCACGTCCTCCTGTAGACCAGGCGAGGTAGTTAACATCTCCTCGCCACCGTGATGATGATGAGAGAGAGACATGCAAACCCAAATACACAGCAGCAGGCGCCAGGATCGGGATCGAACCCACGACCTCCTGTATACCAGGCGAGGTAGTTAACATCTCGCCACCGCAGCGGCAATTTAATGGGGAGGGGAAGAAGTGGGAAGAAGGCAGCAAACATAACCAGAAATAAAATAGCGTAAGTGGCGATGTCCAAGTTTGTCCTTCTTTTCTCCCAGGAGCAGCTGTCAACGTGCGTTATCACAAAGTGGAGTGTCCCTCCTGGTTCTTAATGTCATCCTCATCTCCCTTCCAGTTCTCGTTATGCTCCTTCGGGTCCTCCTCATCATCTTCCTGGGACTTGAGTACGGAACGTCTGTCGCAGTTGTAGAAGCGGTGAAAGGTCAGACTTGCCGTGACTACAGTTCCAATGAAGTGGTGTCAAGTTTGGAGATCACTTTGGGGTGCTCAGGACTACTCAAAATGCCGATTGACAAAAGTAAAAAGAAAGTCAACCGATATCGTCGATGAACTAACAACCAATGACAACTCTGAACGTCACATTCCTCACATTCATTATACTAATAAGGGGCCGTCCATAAATGACGTCACGCGATTTTGGACGATTTTTACCCCCCCCCCCCCCCCTCGTCACACGGCGTCACAAAAAGTCAGATCCCTCCCTCAAATATGACGTCACAAAGCTCTGCCCCCCCCCCCCCAAAAAAAAAAACATGCTTCAAATCACTTTAAACTATTGTCATTGTAGTGCGTATTTAATTTGGGGCTGCACTCTGATGTTGTAGGAGAAAATTTATAAAAAAGTATATTTAATTAATTAGAACGTGTTGTCTATGTTTATTTAAAGTTGCGCATTTTGATGTGACGTCACATTTCTCAGACCCCCCCCCCCCCCTCGTCACACATCGTCATAAATATCTGACCCCCCCCCCCCCCCCAAGTGCGTGACGTCATTTATGGACGGACCCTAACAAATATAGTCAACATTCATAACATTAAATATATTTACTTCAGCGGCAGACTGGCAAAAAGTGCATGGAGCAATGACATGCCAGCCATGTTGCATGTGGTTTGTGATGAGTGATGCAATCCCTAGCAACCACTGTCATGTCCCACATCGTTGCGTTGTCACGAGGACACCAATATTTTCGACTGAATATTTTCTCCCGAATGTCTGTGCGTTTTCTCTCGTGGGATTTTTTTGGAACTCACTACGTTTGCCAATGACATCTGGCAACTGGGCAGCTTTTGTTAAAAACACAAAACAACTAAACCTGACTATTGATGATGAGATGCACAAAGTCAAAACCGGTCCATACTTTTCCTGCTTATGACAAATGTTTGCTGGTTAATATTGGCCTGGAAAGGTAAAAGCATGAGGACTGAAACATATTTGTATTTCGATTTAAAGCTTTCGTGACTGCAGGGATTCATCTTCTTGGTTCTTTCCGTAAAGTCACGTAGAAGGGAGATAATAAAATAATAAAAATAAAATATAATAAAGAGAATTGTATTTTATTATGTTTTATTATTTTATTATTATTTTATTATTGTGAGAATTGTATTTTATTATGTTTTATTTTTATTATTTTATTATTTCCCTTCTACGTGACTTTACCGAAAGAACCAAGAAGATATTTGTATTTGTATGTGGAGACACACAATAGAGGTCTGTTTAAATATTGTGTTCTCACTCATGAGTTATCTTGACTCTGCTACCCTTTCTCATTCTGCAGTTACATCTCCTTCTTGTCTTCCTCCTCATTCGTATATTTGACCTTGCCGAGAGCGCTTACATCACCGTTTCATCGATACACACGGATGTGTCTTCAACAGGACCTTAACATTAATTCGGTGCCAATTGCTTTTCTCCTGCCTTCAATACTCCCCTTGCGTTGTCATCTTTCCTTGTTGGAAAATAAAACCACCTTTGGGACCAACTGGAGACGAGAAAATTAATAAACGTCTCATACAAAATGAGCTCGAACCCATGAAAAAGCCATAAGCAAGCGCACAGTCAGCCGATCCCATTTTCTGATAGCACGAGACGGAGCGTTTTCAATTAATTTTCCTCGCACTGGCAGGCAAACGGCAGTCAGCCTGACTTATAGGCCACAAGCGCAGCTCTGTCAGCTGAATTCCTCCCACTTCCTTAACCCATTCCAAGACACACGTGGCCACCACCACTTTGTTTTTGGCATTTGCAGCGGCTTCGTCAAAGGCCACGTGAGAGTCACTGAGCTCTTAATTTGGAGCTTTCGTGACTGCAGGAATTACTCTTTGGTTCTTTCGGTAAAGTCACGTATAAAGATAAAATAATAAATTAAATACTAGCATACGACATTTCGATTGCAACACAAGCAATCATCATCAGGTATAAATGAAATACAAACACAAATCTAGTATACTTAGAAATGTAATGTAAAACAACAGAGAGAGTCGGATAACATGACAGTCAACACCCTACCTGGTTGAGTACGTTCTTCCTGAGAATGCTAAATTTAAGAGAGAGATAAAACACAGAACCAGAAATATACAGACAGACATATATATATATGCTAGTATTTAACTTATTTTATCTTTATACGTTACTTTACCGAAAGAACCAAAGAGTAGTCACTGAGCTGGTGTCACAGGGATCATGGGTAAGGGACGCCACCTGTCCCCGTATTTTTCCAAGGATCTTTTTTCTTGTGGTCGCTGTCCCGGTAAATCTGTAATAGCCGGTTATTTTGTCTGTTTCGTAACAATGCAACACTCAGTGCAATGCATTTGCATGCAGCCCTCTCCTCTTTTTTGGTATTGAGATTATTATTCTTTCCATGATATGTCCCGTTTTATATTCTTTGGGTCTTTCGGTAAAGTCACGTAGATAGGCTCAAAGAAAATTACAAAAAATTTTACCCGTAAAAACAAAGTTTTTCACTATAAATCCTTTATATGCGTGGCATCAGGGCGGCTATAGTCCTCTCGTCCTCTGGCTTGAGATCGCTGCCACCTATGGGTCAGATGATTGTCTGGCAGTATTAAACAATTGGTAATTAAATATTTTATTTTTTTACCCCTAAACAGTGTAAAATTTTGGAAAAAAATTTTCTCACGAAAATCAATTGTCACGCACAACGAGTCTGTGTGCAAAATGTCAGCTCGATTGGATCACGGGAAGTGGGTTAAAAAACGACCGAAAGATTTGCACGGTCCTAAGCAAGCAAGCCAACTTAATATAAAGGATTTAAAAACGACGACGTTTCGATCGCAACACAAGCAGTCGTCATCAGGAAAAGGAAAAAAATTTTTTTTTCTGTATTAACTTCACCACAGAGGGGGAATCCTTAATCGAGGCATCGAATCTAATGTTTCAGCCACCTATGACGTTGCCCGCCTTCCTCAGTTTCAGGGAACCTGTCACAGCGATGTTACCAAAATTTTGTACACATTTGGTGATACGTGACATATAGCAACGTGGAAATCACCTAATGAAGTGCAGAACCGAGTCTAAGTTGATGGGCTTATTTGACGCTGCAGTAATTTGGCGAATGGGCTGAGACCATCGTGCCCACGACACTTGATAACTCAAGCGTGGTTCAGAATGAGAATATTTATTGATACTGGAGGAATCCGATGAGCTATAAAGCTCTACTCCCACAGATGTCCACCTTTAAACAGAGGCGGTGGCTGCTTTCGTTTGAAACCTCGGGTCCCGGGCGATTCCAACTCTGAGCCAACCTACCATCTGCAAGATATAACAAATATGCAGTTAAGCAACATGTCACCTGACAATACGTCAGCTGATAGAAAGTGCTTAAATTTCGATTTAAAGCTTTCGTGACTGCAGGGAATCAACTTCTTGGTTCTTTCGGTAAAGCCACGTAGAAGGGAAATCATAAAATAATAAAAATAAAACATAATAAAATTCTCACGACGTTTCGGCCACAACACAAGCAGCCGTCCTCAGGTGGAGACAGAGCTGTCTGAGAGACAGCGCTCTTCTCCTCCCACCCAGCTTAAAATACGCTGCCAAGCTTAGCAGTGTTCATTGTCTTTCAGACAGCTGTATCTTCACCTGAGTACGGCTGCTTGTGTTGTGGCTGAAACGTCGTGAGAATTATTTTATTATGTTTTATTTGTATTATTTTATTACTTCCCTTCTACGTGACTTTACCGAAAGAACC